TTTTTTTCGATGTGGAAGGATGACATAAACGCCAGCTTCTTTATACGGCGCAAAGTGATTTCGTGCTTCTCCGAAGAGATTCGAAGGGATATTCGAAATACGTGGAAAGAAACGATTCGAGGGAAAGACACGAACAATACAGGATGTCATGTCAGTATTTTTATTCAAGCAACGCCGAGTATAAAGAAAAAAAAGGAGATATGTAGTAGCAGTAGTGGTTTTGAGTTGCTCCTCTTTTGACGGGAAACGACAACCTGCAAAAACTGAATGTAGTTTGCATTTAAATAGAATCGAAATCAGTCATGAAAGGGTAGGCTCAATAGTTATACAGATCGTCAATTTCAATGTGCGACAGTGAAATAATTATCGTCGTTTTAAGACAAAACGCTTCCGGGCAACTGAAGCAAGAAACAGAGAGAGAGGCCATATTTTACTTAGTCTGTGCTCGCGAGTCAGATGGATTAACTAACTGATTCAATATTTGGAGTTTTCTTGAATCAAATAGAAAAAATAAATAAACAAAGATGAATTTCACCTTTTAATACATGTGTCACGTGTTCGGCTTCTTAATCTGTCTATTGTGGGTGCACTAGAAACTTTTGAAGAAATTCATCCGGCTAGAATTGTGTCAATTAATTTTTAGAGAGTTCTTCAAAAAGCGGCAAACAAAGAGTCCAGCATTGGATAGGGCCGGGTTGTTCAAAGAAGGGTTAACTAACCCAGGGTTAGTACAAAATTTGAATTTAGATATCGAAGCTTAAAAAGCAAAATCAGTGTTATTATTTTTGTCTAAAGTTTAATGATTGGATGGCCTAAAAAGAATAGAGAAAATAATCCGGGAAAATGCTTTTGAACAAACGAAAAGGAACCCTGGTTAAACTTTAACCCTGGGTTAGCGCCATTCGGCCTTCGAACAACTGGGCCCAGTACTTTAGTTGACGGTTTTGATGCCTGGAATCCATCTTCTCAAAACTGAAAAGCGCAGGGGCCTTATAGGTATTAATTATGCAAGTAATGCAAAGTCAGTCTGTAGATTATGAGGAAAACATGACTAACACTAGGTTGATGAGTGACGCTCACACGCATTAAAAAACTGCGGACCCAACTAGTTACAACAAAAAACTGATCGAAAAACTCACCAAGCTTAAGAGCGATTACAATACAAGGGAATGGTTAAATCCCTTTTCTGGACACAATCATCACTAGGAGGGATGATGGGACCATCAAACTACTGATCTACAGGAAAGGAAAAGCCACACACACAGAGATCACAATCAGTACCTGTCTTTTCAAACATATCATCCGCTTCGTTATAAACAGACTGGAACTAGTCCGCACGTTACTGGACAGGAGTAACAGTATTATCACAGATCGGAGGAAGAGACCGTAGAAAAGAGGAAGCAAGGCAACTGATAAAAAGAGTAAAAGAGCTGAAGAACAACATGGCAAGAAAACAACCAGAAGGTCAACAGCATCAAAGACACAGCACAGAATATATCAAGAGGAATGGTGGTTGTCCCGCCATATGTCCATTCATTCACTGAGAAAATGCAACTGAATGCTTTTGGCCAAACATAGAGTTGCCAAAGTGGCAAGAACTCAGAACACTGTTTCGACGCTGTTAGACGAGTCCTCCAACATGCATGCAAACAACATCAAGATCAGGGAAACGGGCCGAATATTGACACAGGATGACAGAACATAGAAAGGAGGCAGTAACGATCTAAAACAGGAATTTTACGAAATCTAGTACAGTGGAACTTCTACCAATGAGTTTAAAAGAAGAGTCAAGGAAAGTATTCACATCAGAAAGAACTCTCCTACTATGGCATTTATAAGTTCTGGAAAAGATGTAACAAAGGTGGCTGATAGCCACCGAAACCGTCAACTGTACAATACTGAACTCCAGTTTTTTTGTCTATATTTAAGAACTCGTAAAAATGTAGACTCAGTTGTTTGCGCTTAAATTTTTCTTCTCGGTTTTATCTCACGTGTAGAAAATAGAAAAAAATGGCTGGCTCTCATCAATGGCCATAACATGAACCGAAAATATTTCTTCAGCTCTTATGATTACAAATTGACCCCTTTAATATTGAGAATTTTAAAATTCAGGGTTAGCAGCGGCAGGGGAAGTTAGTATAAAATGGTAGCCTTGAAGCCTGTGAAAAAACTCAGTGTTGTTGTTTTCACTTAATTTATAATGTAGGTTGTGCTTTGACAAGTTCAGCCTTCTTCTAATCAGCGCGCGACGTTAACTATGTATTGTAAAGAAACTGGAGAGTGGTTTGGCTGGAAATGTGCAAGCTGCTTCATCTTGAGCTAATGGGGCCTTATTTTACTAGTTCTCTTTTATTTTTACTGCGGGCCGCCATCTTGTTTTAAATGGTCTAAGTCTAGTCTTGTGATGAGTATCAACTCTACTTACATTTGAAACTAAGATGGCCGCTTGTGACGGGAAGCGTTCGATCTCGACGATCTTACTGAAAAACAGGCAGGACTAATAGGGGCTGGGATTGTGAGCAGTCTACTATTTGCCAGCCGAATTGGCTAGTTTCCTGGCAGAGCTATGCATCCTAGCGGCTTACGACTGGCAAAAAGTAACGAATATTTTTGTGAGGACTTGTGCCAGTTATGATTGTCAGGCGCAGAATAAAAAATACCCACTCATTTGGTAAATCACTTGATCTGGTGTTACGGGTAGCAAAATGAACTTCAGGTAAAAGAAAATAGTAACTTTAACATTGTTGATTTAAGTCAGTTTCTAAGTTTGTTCACGTAACGAATTGACATATTAAACACTACTACCGCATAAAATCCTCTGTTAAGTCCCCCGGGGGGCTTAATTTATTTCAAGCCCATTTGAGGCGGGGGGGGGGGGGGCTTAATAGAGACGGGAGGCTTACTTAACTTAGAAACGACGATGGTATCAGTTCTCCATAAATAATTAGAATACAAAGTGGAAAAACTCAAGTACAAGAAGTTTTAAGTCATGCAGCCAAGGATCAGAATCACATCCGAACTTCCAGTTGGTTAATAAACCATCCCGGATCAGTCCACGCAAAGTTTTACAGTCGTGATTGATTAATACATCATTTATTAGTGAAGAATAATTAGGGGAAGGGAGGGGGGCTTATCAGAGAGGGGGGGCTTAACAGAGGATTCACGGTATACATATGAAGGCAACATTGCTAAAACCGACGTCGGAAATTATTTCTTTTAAAAACAACAGAATTGAACCCATCATTTCCTCGTTTACCTGCCCACATAGCAAGCTGCACATGACACCTTTGTCTTCTGTTCGCGTTTTAGTTTCTTTCTTTCTTTCTTTCTGTCTGTCTTTTTTTTTCGTTAACACTATAGTTTTTTTCCTGAATGAGGAAGAAAGCGGACAGGTAACAGGCAACCCTCCTGTCAAGTCGTTTCTAAGCTCCTGTGATATTTGTTACTATTTGCTGTACAACGTGATCCTATTGTAGCTTTTCGCCGGTTAAGTGAAAGCTGTTGAACAGTGATTTCCTGTGGCCTTGTATGGATGGATACAGACTAAGGACTAATCCGTGAGGCTGTACAAATAAACCCCAGATGTACATGCAAAACACCGCAGGAAAGAAAAGGCTGTTTGACGGATTTCATGTACGGATTTAAGGAAAAAACGCCACGTTTAGAATGTCTGAATATAGAAAGTAAAAGCACTATAAGTAGCTCTGATGTAAATGATTTCAGAAAGGCCACCAAGCATATGCCCGTAGGTATATGTTTTTATAAAGCACCAGACGAATGTATTGACGGTGTTGCCCTATACCCTATATCCGCTTCCACCATGGGCTGCTATACGTCTTAGTAGTGATCGTTCCCTAAGTTGTACACTTAGATTCGTCCAAAGGTCCGGCTACTAGCAAATAGGCACGCCGGTAACTTTCGTTCTCTTGATTTCTTGTCCTGGAGCGCGGAAGTAAAGAACTGAAGTAGCCGTTTTCGGTGTTGACAAGAGGATCAGAATTCCACCGTGGAATCAAGTGTTTAATTATAACTGGGACACTTTGGTTTTCACATTGTTTTTGGCTACGAGAACGTTGAGGATATCGGTATAAAACAGTGGAGAAAAGAAGCATCCTATGTAGCTTGGAGCAGAGCCACAGGCTCTTAAAACTTAAATCATGACAGGGGACGGTTGAAACTCATACCAAACTACAGAGCATACAGTTAGGACGACGGTCTTTCAGGCCCTGAGCTTATTTCCAAATCAAATAGAATTTTTCTTCCAAAAAAATGAGAGGACTGAAAGAATCAAGAAAAGAAAGCGTATTAAACTGGTAGCAAAAATGGGAAAGTTCCAGAAAGATTTCAATTCAGTTGTTAGATGGTCAATGGAGTGTGAGTTTAATACCCGGCTTTACATAAAGCTTTTACCCAAACAGGGAAGGGTTCATTGAGTCACGGATGTAATTAACATCACAGCAGTGTTCGATCAAGGCCTCTTATAGATGAATGACATCACCGACTTGAACTGTTTAGCTAAACCAATTATTGGCGTTACGGTATGAATGTGAACGCGTTTCTATGTTTCCGCCACTCACGGCCCTGCATATTTCGCGTTACTTGATATATGAAATACTTTAATTATCAGACTAACAATGTGCGGCACAGAAACATGCGCCAGTGTCTCGCACCTAAATATGGAAGCCTGCGACAATAAAGGTCGCAGATACCCGGCCCAATCAAGTCTGATACAACATTTATTTTTGGTAGACAAATCACTTATAACGTGACTGAGATTGCAGATGTAGACGTCGTGCAGTCTGGAATATGGCCACAAACTCTTGACAATTTGACCCCCTAAGTACAAGATTCGCATTTCTTTGATTAGCGGCTCTCTTTATGCTATTGGCGAGTATCCAGGCCATTCAGGTGCCTTCAATAAAGTCGAGATTGTTCCAAGCATGCACCAAAATAGCTCTTGAACCTTAACCTAACAGAGATTCAAACTTTGTTTATAATATCAGGTATCGCGCTTTTTCGCATAAACCGCGGCACGAGATCCAAAAAATCTTGGTTTCTGCTTCAAAACCGTTATGTGCTTGCAGCGTCTGAAAACAGCTACCTAAGAATGATCGCAGACAGGTTAATTCAACATTGGATACCTTGGAGAGGCAGAAATGAGAGACAAGTACTTCGTCGCACACACTGTCTCCGGCTCCTCCGCGGTTCGAACATATGACACCACAGACTAAAATCCAATATTGGCCATCGCAAGATAATTGATAAATCCCAAAAAGATTGTCTGCGGCGGCGTCAAGGGTGCATGAGATACACGACAGATTTAATTTCTTCAATTTATAGTAGACACCACGTCAAAATCTGGAACGCAAACTGAAAGGATCATCGCGCGTTTTATGTATTTAATCTTCGAGTGAGGAGAGCACACACGCGCGATGTACTCGCGATAACCAGACTGAGCGATTAACCTCGTTCCCAGGGTCTTTCATTCCCCCACCCCAGCAGAAGAAGGAGAGAAGCCTGGAAATGGGGTTACTGAGCAAAGACAGAAGGACATTTTGTTTCCATAGTCACTTGTAAAGTAAAAGACTTTTTTTACCCACAAAAGAAATATACCAATCAATAACAGGCTGGCAATAACAACAATATCGTAGAAAAGAATGAACGATTGAACTAAATAATGACAGAAAAACGATGATCGACAGTTGAAAGTTTATTAAAGGACCATATATCTTCAAGCAGGATGACAAAGCGCAGTTTAGAAATTCAGTTTACGACTTCGTAAGGACTTATCTTACTAACTCCATATCATGTAAAGAAAACTTTTTAAGTTGTCGGAGAGTACAGACCAGTTATGTCTATGACAGAGCAGTCGAACTAATTCACATTGATAGTTTCACGCTAATACAAGGACATTACATTTGATTAAAACTCCTTTAGTGCTTGTTTTGCAATGGGAGACCGCGATAATCCGACCAACACTGACCAACTCAACAGTCTACATATAACAAGAGGTGAATCAGATTCTAATCTGAGGTTCAGTGCTTTTCCATAAATGAAACGAAGATTGGCTAACAGAAAGAAAGCCTACTTTATCTGTGTATCAAGAAAAAGTAACGCACTTCCAAAAGCCTTACAATAGCCTTTCAGATTGAAAGAGAAATAAAAGATGTCCATCGACCTTGGTTGATGAAATGATAAAAATTTTAATTGCTACGTAAAAATATATGCATAATGATATTAATTTCATATAAAGAGGAATCTACCTTGTGATAAAAAATAATTCGATGTTCTCTTAAACAAACATTGCATTTAAACCTTTTGATTCGATGAAGGCTCATGGCTTGTAATCAGAATTCATGTAAAAAATGGCAATCACCCTCATTAGAAACTTAACCAATACCGCCAGTTATTTGGCCGACACAAAGCTGTTCGACACCCATCCAACGGCTTAAAACTGAACCCTTCCTATGTACATGTATCTTGCTCTAACAAACCTGCCAGATCATTATTCGAGGTTCTTTATCATTCTCACTTCGCTTCTTTCGCCGCAAGTCTGCGTACCCTTCACCCGCGCTAACCAGGAGAACTGGAAACGGCAGCCTCGGTTTTAAGTTCTCCACTTTCTTTCCGGCTAATTCACTAGCGCGCCTCTGGCTTCTTTCAAACACTGTATAGCTATCGTCTTGCCGAGGACTGTCATAAATCTTTTCCGGCGACCTTTCGTCTTCTAATGACACTGAGGAAGCTTGAGAATCATCGAGGATTTGTACATAACTTGGAAAACCGGGCTCAGCAACAGTTAACTGTTTTCCGGTATCACTTTTTGTTTCAGGCCTCGATTCAGCTTTTTGTTTGGACTCTGCTTCATCATTTTCATTTATGGTAAGCGCTTGGGCAGCAGCCGCCCGTGATTGACTTAGTTTGATATATTCACCGGCAGATTTCACTCTTCCTCTGAAGTCCCCTGTTTCGTCTCCAATTGCAAGAGCCTGTCTGTCTGCTTCACCAACACTTCCGGTTGTCTCACCATTAGTAGTAGTGGTTCCAGTCCTGATTTGGGGATTTTCTTCAGATGTCCCATCAACTTCGTCAATCGAGGTGTTCGTGATAACTAGTGGAATTCGTGGAGGTTCTGGAATACTCGGATTTGGAGGAGAAGTTCCAAAGCCCTTAAACTCCGACAGCATTCGGGCAAAGTCATCCACTCGGAATTGACTCTTCCCGATGAATTCGCCCGATTGAACAGAACTAGCGATAGAAGTAGGGCTGTGAGCAGCTTCTTCGCAACCCTCAAACCTGACACTGAAGGTGCCAGTTCCTGTACCGGCAACACTCGATATCCGCATCCCATTCAAGGTCTGCTGCTTGTCTTCTACAAAGTTAAATTCGTCGTCAGAGTGAACATCTTCGTCGGAGTAATCCTCCTCACCCTCTCCTCCCACATGGTTCGAAATTTGTCGGGGGGGTGTTGCTGTCTTGTTAAAGGTGATCTTTTTTGGGGAAGCTGCAACAAACCACATTACCTGTTACCCGTATATCGATCAGTACCGGCGTCAAACCAAACGGGTGGGAACCATATTCTAAAGCCACAAAGACAGCCGTATGTAATGTAATCTGCCTTCAATCACAGTTATCATTCAATTGAATTTTTAAATATTTACAAAGTAAAATCACTTATATTTGAGATGTACAACCGTAACGTCGAGAAAATTTGTTGCACAATGCAGTTAAATTACATTTTCGTTTTAACGGTCTGCTTCATTTTTTCTGGTCATAAGTATTACCCCTAATTATAGTCAGTATGAATTGATACCAGCTTTTTCCAATAAACTTTATTTACTGTAAATCCATTATGTACCATAAATTCTTTTTCTTTTTTGTACAGTCTTTCCGCATTAAGCTGCATTATATATGGACAAACATGTACCAGAACATAACACAATAAAATTATTCCCGAAATGTAAATTGACTGCCCCGCCAAGATAAGCTCTGCCTACATGCTGGCCAGTGAACTTTTGTGAAACTTCAATAGGGAAAATAACGATTATTGCTGTTGTAGTACCTCCACGGAATAACATTTGTCGTACCAAAGAAGAGTAGAAACTAACCTTTACCTTTATTGGCGAAAGTTGGACCACGTGATGCATAGCCCCAAGCTCCTGAGATTCCCGGGTCTGTCTGCACGCATGCGTCTCTAACTTCATGTTCCCGAAACAAGCTGAGGTTTGGCCTTGTTGCCTCGAGACCATGACCCGTACCGAGGGACGGGTTGTTTTTTAGCGGGTAAAAACATCGCACACTGCTTCCGTACGAGTGAAATGCAACACAAGCTTTGCCTGAAATAAAAAGTTTCATAAGAAATATTGCTGGTGTCAATAGAAATGGCTTTGACGCTATGGCTGAAATTCTGGGCTTGGTTGTTCAAAAGATGGATAGTGCTATCCACCAGGCCCCGGTTATTCAAACGTTGGATAGCGCTATCCAGCGGATAAGTATTAGGGAAATCAATTGCGTTGTCCAGTGGATAGTGATTTATCCGGTGGATGGAACTATCCACCTATTGAACAACTGGCGCCCCTTCTCGAATCATTACACTATTAAATGGATAGTGTTAACAGCAAATATGAAAGAAGCAGTAAGCAAAGAAAAATGCGAGTCATACCGGAAACAAGTGGCACACCCTCAAGCCTTGGAAGAGGAAACAACAGGGTAACTCCTACACTGGTCCCCACCCATAGTAAACCCTCATCAGCTGACAGGGCTGTCACGTAAACTTGATCCAGTTTGGTTTTCTCCAGCTGAGAGTCGATATCTGTGAAAAAAGGCAAGTAAAGGTACAGCGACAAACGTCAAAAGAGGAAGCAACACCAGGTTCAACTTTTCAAACAACAACAACAACAGATGAAATAAGGGCTTGATTTTTCTTTTAGCTATTTATTTATGAACAACTGTGGCACAATGTTTGTGGAGCAGTGCTTCGTAATAATGCATTCACGACACTGTAAATTAGATTAATTAGGTTAGAAATTTTAAAACTATTACGGTGGAATTAAGGCAACGGGTGTAATACAAAGTTAATTTATAACCAGGGTAAACGAAAGTTTCTGACCTCGCTGCATGTTGGTGACAGGAGAAGCAATACTGATGTCCTGCACGTGCTTCAGTGTCTCACTGTGAAATAACTTGATTGACGGCACCTTCCAGACGGACACCCACACACCAACACCATAGCTGACAAGATGCTTGATGCTGGACTTGGGATTATCATCCACCTCAATCACGTGCTAAAATGAGACAAACGTAAACACAGCAATCATGGGTCATCAATATATTGAGAACGATGAACATAGAGATTGTAACCCGAGTAGCATGCAGGCGCCAGTAGTTTTTAGAGCGAAAGGAGAAATTTCGAGGACGCGCGCGGAGTTCCCCTGGCACTCTCCATATTTATTATTTATTTACCAATTAAGTCTTCACTCTTAACAGAGTATTGCAGACTGCTTTAAATAATAAAAATTACAACAATGAACACAACAATAACATTAACTTACTAATCAATATATAAGATTACACAGGGATTGCCTAAATGAACATGGCGAAGTGGATGCTATAATTTCTGGTGGGGGATTGTTCCACAATTCAATTGTCCTAGGGTAAAAAGAGTTCTTAAAGTAATCACATGTACAACGTGGCTGCTCAAATCGATGACTGAGAGACGAGAGCCTGGTGTCCATTCTGCTCTTATGTGCTCTCTGAAGCTTGTCGCATTCGTAAGTGGCTAATCCATTACTCTCTTTATACAGCATACAGAGACGTGCGTCAGATTTCCTGAGCTCCAGAGATCTCCATTTGAGAGAGGATAACATATCATTGACACTGTCTAATCTGTCGTAGCACCCGAGTACCCAGCGAGCTGCTCGGCGTTGAATCATTTCGACCTGTTGTATGTTCTTAGCTACGTAAGGGTTCCAGACAGTGGCACTGTATTCAACAATCGGTCTCACGAGGGCTTTGTATGCTCGTTCTTCTGATGTGGCCGAACAAGTGCGGAGATTGCGGCGTACAAAGTTCAGAGTCTTGTTTGCTTTGGTGGTAATTTCATTTACATGATCATTCCAGCGTAAATCACGTGCGAGAGGTTGATCCCTAAATATTTAGAAGTATCAACAGTTTCTAGGACCTTGCCATGAAGTTTGTACTGAAATTTGACGGTGTGCGTCTGGGTGTTACTCGTATAACGTTGCACTTACTTCGATTAAATTCCATACAACAGTCGGATTCCCATTTTTCCGAGCTGTGAAGATCATCTTGTAATTGCCAGCAATCGCTCTCAGATTTTATTGCAAGGTAAATGACAGTGTCATCGGCAAAAAGACAGACCCTTGACGTAGCATAGCATGGGAGATCATTAATGAAAATAAGAAACATTAACGACCCCAGCACTGATCCTTGGGGTACACCTGAGGTTACTGGAACTGAATGCGAAGGCTCTCCTTCTAGAACTACACTTTGTCTTCTTTTCTCAAGAAAACTTTTCAACCACTGCATTTCTTTTGCGAGGTCATCTATAAAGGCAATTAATTGGGTTTTACATGATCGTGCTCGCCTGGAACCATGCTGAAAATCATTTAAAATACCGTGGCTATCCCAAATGCTTTGAAGTATGTGAGACCAGAATGTGTTCTATTAATTTGCCGCATATACAAGTAAGGGAAACAAAAAATACTTGACTTCGATGGGTCTACACCTGAGCCCGCGATACGGTCAGGTGATACTCGTCAGCGGAGATCCCGTTGAGACAGCTGTCAATTGATCACAACATTGATGTGCAATCAGTTTTCTCCTGGGCTCCCAAACTAGCTAGAGAGTGTACGCGTAAACATTGGTATATCTGTGGTGGGGGCGGACGGTCGGTCGGGCAAGCGCATGACACGATTGGTCAGTTAAACAATACAAAACTGAGCAGTCAGCTATTGATGGTCATTCTCTTCTATTTTCGGCCCGGTGTGAAAAGAATAACTCGACTTCAGATTTACAGAGTGGGCCTTCTTGTGGTATCGTAGGAAAAAAACATCAGTCAGGAAACACACCTTGATGACTTCTTCATCATGACTTATTATGAACAACTTGTTGCCACAGGAACACCAAAGGTTTTCTGACACAACAGCTATTGCCATTACAGGATCTTTTCCAAGCGCCATAGCTTTTGGCTCACTAAAATTCCAAGTGCCTTCTAAAGAGAAAAAAAGCCATAAAAACATTATACGTGTGCGTGGTTGGGCCTGAAATAAGAGGTAAGGTTTTATCAAGTATTTGCCCTTTGATAAGCAGTTTGACAAATGTTCACCTTTTTCAAATGAATTATTTCCTGAACCAGAGCTTCATTCCTAGAGAAGCAAATTTTAAAAGACATGCTGGCAAAATCAATTCTGGAGCTTTATATTTGGTATTTTTACCTTGATTTTGTTTGAAAATCACCAGGCTCCCATCCGCTACTGTAGCAAAAATTTTCATGTTCACTGTTCTTAAGTAGAAAAGAAAAAAAAGTTAGAGAAAAGGCCTTTTGACCTACAGTTACTTTAAAATCAACTTTTGGGAATACAGCGCAGGAAATAAATGAACCATGCAAACAACCAGGAAGTGGAATTAGTATACTGAGGTAATAGCATGATTTGTAGAGATACCGTATTTATTCGAATAAGCGCCCAACCTCGAATTAGCGCCCACCTCGAATAAGCGCCCATCCTAAAGGCAGAAAAAGTTAATAAGCGCCCAGCCTCGAATAAGCGCCCACCCCACCCCACCCCTTTCCCCCTCACACCTCCCAAAAATTGAATAAGTACTAATAAGAGACTTCCCCGAAGACGGAGTTTTCTTCAGAGTATTTTACAGAAACCTTGCTTTGTTACATCTTCGCGTTTTGTTTTTACCATTTATTGTTTTGTTGCAAAATAAACATACTACACTTGCTGAAAATGTTGAAAATTTAATAAGCGCCCACCTCGAATAAGCGCCCACTCTCAAGGTCCAAAAATTTAATAAGCGCCCAGGGCGGTTAATCGAATAAATACGGTATTTGGCATAAATACCAAGAGTGATATTTCGAAATTGTTATACGTGATTTCACGAGCCGTTAGGCCAGTGAAATTTGAGATAATTTTGAAATATCACGAGTGGTAATTTATGCCAAATATCACGAAAAAATCATGCCATTATTTGTTTATACAACTACCCACAAAAGGTTTGTGAGTTTCACAGGTAGGTATTTCAAATTAAACTCTGAGCCAAAAAAATTGCAGAAATTTCTCATGTAGTAGTATAACTGTGCTAATTTTACTGAAAGCTGAGGTCTAGACTTGTGTAATTTTTTTTATTTTGAAAAATTGTTTAGTATTTGAGAAATAAATCCTTGAAACGAACGGGCTTATAACAGATCTAATACCTTAAGTGGACACGAGCCTCAGCGATAACGAACCTAAATTTAAGCAAAAACCTAACGCGGGGGTCTTGTAGGTGGCTCGTCGCTTATACAGCTTTCACTGCGACAAGAGTATTGAAATTACTTACTTAATAGCTAGAACAGCATCGGGCAGCCTCACTGACATGACGTAACGACGAGTAGAATCCATAGCGTTGTAAATAAAAATCCTCATAATAATTAATTAGAAAACAGCGGAGTTAGTAAAATATCCTCAATGAATTCAGTTTTGTTTATCCAATACAGCACAAAGTTAAAAGCCTGTAAACTCCAAATTTCTTAAAGCAAAGATTTTCACGAGTGCTACATTTGTTGCTTTCAATGCAACGGATAAAACCTTTTCCGCAGATCTTAATAGTTATAAGTCAAAAGAAATCTATTTCGACCTCTGATAACTCGGTGAAATGTAGGATGCTGTTAGTGTATCATACCTTCCGCCCTGTGTTCCTAACCAGACAGTAGGAAATGGAAAGCCAAACCTTCCAGTAATGGGGCCTTTAAACTTCTTTTCTTCACCACAAGTCCGTTCAACATACTCGCCACACATGATGATAGAATCACTCACATGGAACGACTCTACAACCTGAGGAGGGGAGGCTAAGGACACTTTAACCACAGTCACATGACCTGCATGGTCCCCTCCCCCGCACAAAAGCCACAGAATGCCATAGTTGTCACGGACGCCTGGAAGGGGATCTGACATGTCTGGGACGCAGACAATATTGTGAACCTAGAGGAATAAAATTCGACAAATAAGTTTCAATCTTGCTAACTTAATCTGAAATTTTACCTGGAAAGAGTTATAGGACATCTTACTAAAAGCGAAGTTGGCAGTGGATGTTTCCCCAAGATGTAAGTAGGTTTTTTTGTACGTAACTCTTGCAGGATTGGTCAGAATTTCCAAAATGAGTAACCTGTGCAAAAATCTTTCCTTCTTATACTCGTGACGTACCAACTGAATCGATTTAACTGAAGACTAAGTAGGTTCAGAAATGCATAATCTGCATCGTTCCATATTGATCAGACTGAAATAAAGCAATCCGTAGCCAAGGGTTAAACTAGGATGGCCAACGGTAACGAGTGACACATTTCCATGAAAGTTGAGGAAAAATACAACTTAAAACGTTAGAAGTCCTGGCAGAATGAATGGTCACTGATTCATTTACCTTAGTTTTCTGGCTGAGTACAAATAAGCTGGTGTTGTCTTTAAGCAGCGGCATGTTACGCCGCTGAACGGCCACGCCGCCAGTCCCATCATCCTCTGGGAGGTACCAACCAGGATTATTTTGAGGAGCTGAAGAGGTATAGCCGCACAAATACAATGAGTTTTCATTTTTTTTAACAATTCACAAGAAGAAACAAAGAAAATGTTATGTTCACGGGTGTCTTTAAATCTGACAAAACAAGGCCTACTTTTTTGCTCCGCTTTTCTCGGAAAAAATACACAAGGATTATTTGAAGAGTGAATCAATATCGTTGATACTTCTTGTTTTTAATTTGACATTCCTGCTCATCTATTAAGGGATGCCGCTAACCCGCGGGTAAAATAACACAAAGAAGGGTCAACCTTTCCACTAATAACATCTAAGTGCTCACAGAATAGTTATCAAGACATTGTTTTGAATCCATACTTACAGAGTCTTAGCTTAGACGTATTGAGAGTAGTCACCCATTCTGCTTTCACTGCAGGTGAATCTGTACTAAATATGCAGTTTACGTGGCCATGCCTGCCGAAACAAATTATCACAGTTAGATTTCTACCCTGAGAAAACAGCCGACACTTCGCTACGCCACCACTGATTTCCCCGCGAAATGACGTCTGAGAAACGAGCGGAGAAATTCCATACTGATGACGCGTCACTCCCCAGATATGGGTAGTGCTTCTGATTGGTCGTGCCGCGTGGGAAATTTGATTCAACCAATGGTATCATTTGAATCAGTTCAAAACGAAATGGCCGGTCCAGTTTTGTTATTTAAGACTATATTTAGACATTGAAACTGTTTCCTGTCGTCTGTTGCCACAGAGGGCAAGGATGGACATAAATTGAAAAAGTTGAACCAACTGTTTTTCAAGTTTTAATGCTATGCTTACTAAAATCACCAAACAATTATTATGGTTATCGGCTCCCTGGTAAAATTTGTTTGATATGTTCTTCATAGCTAGCTGTGCAGAAGCATTTTGTGTATGGGTATACTGATGGCACCAGTAATATCCTCATGACACTGATAGCCCCTTTAAGAAGAGTGAGGGAAGAATTCGGTGTACGTAACGAATAATTGCCACAGGGTCCAGAGGAGATGGGTTTGTCGTTAGAACATCAGAACCCGTCGGAAACCTCTGAAAAAATGGGTTATTTTGATCGCGTTACGGTCTCGTTACAGATTCTATAGACCGCAAACCAAGAGACTGAGGGCTCGCAAGATTGGCTTACGGCCTTCGGTCACCCTTCGGGCGACGTGCCGTGCGCCAGCGAGGATATGGCTTGCGGTTATTGATTTTCAAAAGTCGATCTGGGTCAGATAAGACGCGAAGAAATCGTTTACAGTAGATTTATAAAGATCCCACTGGGCTAATTAATCGTGCTAAGCGACAGGTATAGACAATTTTTAAAGGTAAGTAATTCATTTATTCACACGAAACTCCTCTGGACCCTGTGCTGGGAAGCCTTCGCACAAACAAAACCTGCTTAAGACATCGAAGACTGTTGAAACGTACAACAAATGTCCAGTCTTGAAAGATCTTCACTTCAATTAAAACTCTGTTGTTTTCGCATAGATCTCTGAGATCTTTAAAACTCTCTCCGCAGCTGATGTTTTGATTCTCGAATTAGCAGCGGTCTGTTGCTTTTGCGTTTCCGGTCTCATTCCGACTTCCGTCACCGAGTGCCGCGGTTCACATAGAACGAAGTCACGTGGTACAAGTTTCCTCCCTTGTCCTTTCTTTTACTCGGCACTTCGTGCCTCGGTCGTCCTCCGGGCGACAGCCTTCGGTCACCCTTCGGGCGACGTGCCGTGCGCCAGCGAGGATATGGCTTGCGGTTATTGATTTTCAAAAGTCGATCTGGGTCAGATAAGAAGCGAAGAAATCGTTTACAGTAGATTTATAAAGATCCCATTGGGCTAATTAATCGTGCTAAGCGACAGGTATAGACATTTTTCAAGGTAAGTAATTCATTTATTCACATGAAACTCCTCTGGACCCTGTGTAATTGCGTCAAATGCGCGCCAAACAAGGGGAGCATACTAAAGCGACAACTGACTTGCCTAGGACTTGAAAACCATGTCTCAACGTCCTGGACAAGTTATTTTTAAGGGGCGTGAAGACCAAATCGAATAGAATTTCACAGATAGAAATGACAGCTACAGGTGGTCAATACTACACTGAGTTTCATCTCATCACTTTGGTTGACTTACTTAGAGGGCAATGAAAGCTCCAGCCAGTAGAGATTTGCGAGTCTTGTTTCTTCTTCTATCGTCCTTTGAACAGCTTTATGCCACTTTTGAACTGATTCAACATCCAAAACCTGTCAAGATCAGAATATAAATTGAAACGCTGCTTCCAAGGATACCACCAACTCAAATGAAAAATGCTTCTTACGGTTGTAAGTTGCCGGGAACAGTGATACCTCACTATATAAAAACACTTGCCCTGTATGAACGACGTAGCGTAGAAACGAGGCCTGCTATTTGACCAATCACAGCCAAATCCTGCTGAAGGTCTTCAAAGTGTTCACGGCAGCCACTGTAGGCCTTTCGATACTGACCTGTGCGGCAGCAAAATACCACATTCATCACAGTAGTCCAAAATATTAACTGAAACAATTACGGACTGGCGCTTGGGAGAAAACTAACGAGTAACAAGTTAAGCAAAAGAACGCTCTGAAAACAGAAAATGAAATAAGCATGGCTCGAAACGAACACTGAATGATACGACTGGATCACTGCTAAAATACAAGTCAACTAAGAAAATGGTCAACCCATCAAGCTGAAAATATCGCCACGTAAAAAAGACACCAGGTCTCGGTTGTTGAAACGTTGGATAGCGCTACCCATCGGATAAATCACTGTCCAGCGGATAAGTATGAGGAAAACCAATTGTGTTATGCACTGGACAGAGATTTATCCAGTGACTAGCGTTATTTCCCCTTTGCACAACTACGGCCAGCTAACTTACACAGGGAATCCAAGGTAATGGCACATGCACAAGATATCAAAAGAGCGGATTTTCATATTACTCGACCATTATACTTTGTTAGCTTTTAGACTCCTACTATTTTTTAGCTTTCTGTTTTTAACCCTCTCACTCCCGGAAGTGGCCCAAATCAAAATTAAAAGAAATTACCAGATTTCTTACAAGACTCCATCATTCACTCTAAAGGTGAAAAAGTTAACACTCGTTACTTCACAGTGAGAGAATATATTGTTGGTAATATACAAACCTTCTTTGGAGTGGCTTATCGTGGTTCTGTAGGAGTTGGTAAGTATGTTAACTCCTGGGCCATATTCAATGATATCAACATCATTCAGTGGCACATTCCATTTCAGCTTGTACTTTGCTTTGGGGTCAATAACCATGTGCATAGCGCGATCTTTTTTGCTAAAACAATAATATCACTTCATTGTTTTTTGGTCGGTACATCTGCAGAATATATGACTGCTACAAAACACCTCTCTTCCAATCCTAAATTAATGTGTCACCGCATTCTTAGTAGTCAGCGCCCAAGACGCCTTCTAGACTTGAAAATATTTTCTACCACATATATACTGGGTACTAACTAGCGTAGTCAAAATGGTTACATATTCTGCACTTACAATTATATTACAAAAGTTAAAACTGCCAACTCAGGCAAAGTAAAAATACAAACAAAACAAAACTCAACGACAAAATACCACGTCCTGCTGAAATATGTACAAATTATTTCATGTGAGCTGACAAATTTCATAGACTATTTGACTCGTTACTCAATTTTAGCTTTTTATCCACATAGTTACGTGAGATCTCTTGACTGCTGGCTACGCTTATAAAACTCTTTGTTTCGCACAGTCCCCCACAACAAGCGAGACAAAAGCGATAAATTTACTGCCTATACAGGGCTCTGTATGAAGTAGCCAGAAAACTCTTTCCAATGATATGACTGTGAACATCGCTTACCCTTTAATGAGGGATACACACAGTAACATGTCAGACAGCATAATGATTCGGCGTTTCTTTGTTCCAAGGATAGATTCCCCTTCAACAGTCTGTGTAGTATGCAGTAATAGTAAGTAGAATCATCTGGTGAGTATAAGCAGCTAACATTGACCTGGCACAGCTGTGCCGGACATGTGTTTCTTAAGCATCTGTACTTGATAAGTCAACTGTGTTCGTGATCGCTCGCCTACTCCTCTATATTAACATGTAAATGTATCCACTCATGTCAGTACTGGGATGAGTTTGCTTAGAATTGCTGCTTCTCTATGGATTTGACTAAGTACTTTTAAATTAACTACCATAAAGGTAATTACTATAAAAATTCATGCTAACAAAGAACTATAATAACAGGCAGCAGAAGCGTACTAGGTGAGGAAATCAAAGAAGTAGACTGTTAAGAAGCGGTAGAAGTAGTCTGTTTATTTTCTATTGTAGCTCTCCTTATTAGTATTTAACTCGAGTCACGATGTCCTCAACATCGTTCCCAAGCTGTGATTTCTTTTCTGTGATTGTCTACTGCTGGCCAAGCAAATGACAGACAGAAAAAATCATGATAATTTAACAAAGAAGAAGCGGCTTTACAGTTTGCATGGGGTCAGGGTTTGTTTCTAACGAAGCTCGGCCCGTTAAAAATCTAGAAAAACGACGTCAACGCTTAATTTCGATCCACTAATGACCAAATCGCACCTAAAAATGGAGGGAATATCTACAACCTGAGGCAACATTAGTTGAGACACTTTGCCCTAAAGGGCCTTTCTGACATTTTGCCATTTTTTAAAAAGGGGAACATAAACTTCCCTCCCCCACCCCCAAACCCTTCTTGCGAATTTTTGCCGCTGCTCGAGCTTCCTGTAGAAAACAACAAACACCCCACCTTTGAACTAGGGAGGAGAGGGTGAGGGGTGTGGATTGTTTTGTTCTCCGAAGTTACTCCATCAGAGGACAGTGTCTCAGTAATTTTGTCGTCGATTAGAGACTATAAAGGGAAGTAAATATGATTTCTTCAGAAACACACGTTAATGCAGTGTAAGACCTTACAGGCCAGCAAATTTTGTCTAAATCTTAAGACACAAAACGTAGTTGCCGAAAAACGAAGTGACGCGTTAGTTTTTGTATGGAAAACTCGTCACATGTGCAAAGTAGTTGGCGTGATTGTCAGACAAATTGACAAACGTTTCCAACCTTTCTTCACTCACCTTTTTTGAGTCATTTCTGATGCGTTTAGACACTGGTTTTTACCATACAATTCACAATTCTCTACAATATTACAGATAGCCTGCTTGTTCTGTTAACTAACAACATTGTTCAAAGTTAATACCCTGCTCAAACATAAAATGTACTTACACACTGAACAAAGTCATCCTGCCTGACAAAATACCGATTTCCTGACATCAGAGACTACATGAAGAGAGAAAACAATCAACATCCTTAACTAGTGACTACAACATTATTCCTCGCACATATGTTTTAGATTTTCCTTTTCACGTCTTTTTCTGTCACTCTGAGAAACAACGACATCAAAACATTGATCAACTAGTTAATCTTTGAGCCTTTCTTTATATGAACTAGAAATTTAAGTTAAACCCCGGAACAAGTCTGTCATTTAGGGTATAGTTGTGGATTGATGAAGTAGACCTTAGGTGTGTCTCAAGTGCTCCTCACTCACCTCAGTGTCCATTATAAAAAGAGTTAGTTGCACAATAAAATTGAAATGTTCAGCCCTAAAAGGAGTCCCTAATACTTAGAATCACAGTGGGAGTTTTTTTTCGCAATTAAAATTAATGTAACTTTTGCTGCTAATGTCAGTATAATCAGAGTGTTCTCCTGCAATATCATAACATCTGAGGTGAGAGTTAAGACTTCAGTGAAACCGGAAACCACCCATGAAGTCTCTGGCACCCAGGGTAGATGAGAGTTAACTGGATCAGCAAAAATTTGCTCAAATCAGGGGAGAATATATTCTAATAATTAGCATATAATTTACCTTGTGGCTCTGTGCTATCAGCCCATCTAGAAGTTTCACCTTATTCCTAAGTTCCGCTTCCCTTTTCCTTTCTCTTAAATTCTCTGCCAGACATTCCAACTGTGTCAAAGCAAGCTGCAGTGGGACACGATCTGGGTGATCTTTAGGAGTCACCAACAGCAATTCCTAAAAATAAAAACAAGCACTCCAGTGAACATCTCTTAACAATGCACTTAATATACCAGTATTCTACAGATCCTCATAGAAAGGTGGTTGGAAATCTATTCCTTTGGGTTTGGATATTATACTTCACCTGTCTAGTCCAAGGTACTGCTGTCAAAGAGAATGCAATAAATATGGAAAGATTGTAAGATTCCTTCATATGACAACACATACACTTTCCAAGAGCAAGGATGGCAGAGAAGGCAGATCATTTACACATATAACTACGTTCAGGGCCTGATAACAACTCAATACGATCATGACTGTCAGTTAATGATAAAATTCAAAAATAACAATAATGAAAATGATATTACTTAGCGTTTAATTTATTGCTTACCTGGAGAAGCGCTAATATCTGTGGAAATCTCTGGATTGGTTTTAACATCAAATGGTGAAGTGAGACGCTATTAGGGCTGGACTGTCTACGAGACTGTAAGGAACGGTGAAGTATTTTTTAGCCTTAAAGAAATGTGACTTTACAGTAATTCAAAATGTGTTCCTATACTCGAAGTCTAACACCCAAGCAAATTTTAGACTGAAAGCAGACCTGGCTTCTTAGTCACTCAGACTTGGCAGGACTCGTGAATGCATTGGCCATACAGTAAAACCCCGCAACTAAGAACCTGGATTTTAAGAACCTGTTAGGCTAAAATTTGCCAGTTAAGCCACCTCTATTTAAGAACCTTTTTAGCCCAAAATTTGAAACAGGTTCTTACTTTCTAAAATCTATGAAAAACTTGGCAGACAAATATAAGATATGTCAATTGAACCACCAAATACTCTTAGCTATATTGTACCTTTTTTCTTTGGAAACTAAGAACCTATTTAAGAACCTACATAGCCTGAAGGTGTGCCAACTACCATTTATATAAGAACCTGTTTAAGCTAACTTGGAAAAATCCAGGCTTTTAGTTGCGGGGTTTTACTGTATTTTTTTGGCTTGTACTCAACATGCTCGCCTGCCCAACAAACCTGAGGGACTGCTGGAAATCAAGTCAAATTAACAAGAGCTGGTATGTAAAAAGGACAAGGTAAAAATGGTGAATCCCTGATAAAAAATATATGACAGATGTTTGACCGAAATAAACTCCAGCTACAGTTGACTTTCATTATTGCGGACACCTTCGGGGGAAAGATTTAGTGTCCATAATAGTGAGAGTCCGTAGTAGCAGGGTACGAAAGAAAAAAAATTGTTTTCTCTTGAAGCTTATGAAATAATATGTAAAAGTCCCAGAGACATTGTAGTTTAACAATTCTTTACTCCTGTTAATTATGGATCATAAGAGATTAAAGATAATAAGATTGTAAATAGTATTGTAAATATGCTGTATTGTCACTTCCAAGCTCCTGCAATGACAAGGGATACATAAGAAAGGGCTTTAAAAACCAAACGGAAACTGCTCCAGTAACGTGAATGGCTAAAATGTTAACTTGCTGTCAAATATATTGTTTTTTATTGTTTTTGGCAGCTCTTTTATCGCAGAAATGCTGCACAGTAAACTTCATAATGCAAAATGTTTGTAAGCTCTAATGGCAATGTCTTTTCTCCCTAAAATACTGTAGAGCAGTCATTTCTTTACTCTTTCACAAAGAAGGAGTCGCTAGCACTTTGTGTCATATTTTCCTTTATTGTAATGTCGTGTTATTCTTCATGTTATGTGAGTCAGGATATTTGATGAAGTATACTCAAGTATCTGCCATAGTGAGAGAAAAAACAAAGAAATGTCGCGCTTGGGGGCAGGAAAGTGTCCGCATTTCCGTAATAAAGAGAGTCTGTAGTAGCAGGAGTTTGTTTCAGTCATTTCTCTATGCGTTTCGCCGGGGGGCTGGCTCTTGTCCACATAAGCAGGATGTCCGCAATAGCGAGGTGTCCGAGGTGTCAACTGCATGTATTAGGCACTCTCACTAGAAAGGACAGGCCCCCAGAGTGACTGCAATAACATGAGTGGACTGTGTTTAATAATAATAATAATAACAATAACAATAATAATAATTTATGAAGTTAATTTGTACAACTTAACATTTAAACTGGGACACAGTCAGTTAAAGGACCACGCTGACCTGGACACTACCTTTGTCAGTTTGAAAAGCGTTTACCTCAATCTGAAATCAAATGTATGTGCTCTGATATGGCATAGGGACTATAATCATGATTTTGGCTTGTAACTAGTTCAACTCTACTAGATAGTTTTGTTTAGAGTATTTGGGATGTGCTCCTCACTTTCTGTTTCATGTGCGTGTCTTGTGATATACAAATCAGCTAAGAAATGATATGAAATGCGCATGTGCATCAGCTGACTGTGTCCCTTTAAGAATGATCAGCTGCGCATTAGTCTACATGAAACAGTCAAACAATAATGAAAAAAAGTATAATTATACGCATGCAAAGTAAGTAAATAAAATAAAATTCATCACTGATATACAGTTCAAAAAAGATAAGTCTTAGATGCGCCTCAAAACTGTTGACATTAGTAATCAAACAAAGTTCTTTGTTTGATTATCAATGGGAAAAATTGCTCAGAATATGATGACTGGGGATTTTTAAAAAGTAATCATTGGTTGTAATAATAAGGTGGAACTGTGGCAAGGTACATTTCATTGTACTCTGAACATCTTACTTTTAAAAATTGTGCAAATGCAAGATGTGTTCTGCAAGCAAGTTTCACAGTATCCATAGCTTTGGGAAAATTGTTCACATATCCACTATATGCATCAAGTACCATGGACTTGCAAAACTGAAATAAAGAAAAGGAAATTATTATATACATAATGACATATACTCACTGAAAAGCTCTGTTGAAAATTTTCATAATTATGTCAATGAGTTATAGCCATTCAGAGGAGGGAACAGTATTTTTTGCACACAAGGAAAAGGATACCGTATTTCCTCGAATAATAGCCATCCCTCGATTAATCGCATCCCTCAAATAATTGCCCCCTATGATGGAAATATTTGAAATAATCGCCTCCTTGAATAATCGCCCCACCCCCCCAAACCCTCTCGCCATTTTCTCTTTCTTTTATCCTCTTCCTGTCAAGTGGAAGTGGACTCTGATCCAGCAAAACTGATCAATGATGATTCAAGCTCTGAAAATTAATCAAGCAACCCGATTTGGGACACTTTGAAAGCCCATGTTCAGTTTATTTGAAGGGATATTTTTTGATATGATGGGATAATAAAACAAAATAATTAGGACACGCAACTTTTAGTGAGCAGCATTTGAAATAATTGCCTTCCTCGATTAATTGCCCCCTTTTGAAACGAAAAAAGAAATAATCGTCCCCAGCTTATTATTCAAGGAAATACGGTATATCCAATCAGAATCATGACAATGTTTTTAACATGTGAGTAAAATAATATGTTAAGTCAAAAGCCACGGGCAGAGGTGTGAGAGTTTTGTGTTCAGTTTCCTGCCTTTTAGATTTATTGGTGCGTTTGTAAAAAGACTTGAGAATTTTTTTTTTCAAAAAATGCTGTGATTGGATAATCTTCTTCCCAGTGCCCCAGTTTGAGCAGCCATAATGTAAGACAAATCCCAAATTTTATTTTGCAGTCTTGAAGCCCAATAACTTTTTCAAATATGACAGTTTCACTATAAACAATAATATAACTCACCAAAGCATACAGAATGTCACCTATCATATCATTAGGAGTCCAGTCTGCCATTCTTGCACTTAATGCAATATTAAACATAGCATGACATTGCAGTACACGCTGAACATGTTGGAATATTATTTCAATCTTGTTTGGTTCAAGAAGATCTCGCTCTCTGATTGGCAACTCATATTGCTATAAAAACAAAAAGAAAGACATGAGATATCATTCTTACACTTGCATGAAAATGTAAAAGTTGGTGATGAAAAATACTCCTTAAGTTTTTTTATTTGCTATTCGTCGAAGAAAATACAAGTGAGTGCTGATCAGCATGTTTATAACTGACCTTACTGAGTTGATCCAACAGTCTCATGTAGTCTCCCTCACTCTCCAGCATGAATTTAACAATCTGATATCTCTTGATCTAAAGTTGGGCAGAACGAAAGTGTAACTCCATTTTCAAGTCTTAAAAGTGGACAAAATGCTATTTACTGTTGACTGTTTAAATGACTGAATGAGTCTGAATGTAAAAGTATGATTGATGTAATTATTCCATATTTGCAGTGCTGCTGTTAATGGCACAAGTACCACACTAAGAGAAAAAAAGTTATAGTATTAATAATAATAATAATAGAAATAATAATAGTAATAATAATAATAATAATGACTTTATTTTAGCGTCAATGTATTTAGCTCAACAGTTAGCTAATTGGGGACACTTTCCTACGTACTAGCACACTAATCTATTACGTGACTTTTAAATTAATGATCTTATCTTAAACCTAAAACTATATACAAATGTACATGACTCAAAATTTACACAAGTCACAGCAGTTACTATTGTTATCTATGTGGCTTGAAAGGTCCACACCACGTATCTGTTATATTCATACTCGTGCTAGCTCCCTTCCCTAACAACACAATCATTCTTAAAAAGCCTGCATGCATTTGCCTCCATATATATGCACTATATACCTGATCAGTGGAAAGTTCACTAGGCATGGGTGGCATTACTGGCTGTTGATAGTTAACTGAGTCTGTGATGTCTGGGTCTACATAGACACCATCCGTTTCATCATCTGAAAATAAATTGGTAGAAATTATTGTTACCATATGAATTTGGAATAAAGGTAGGAGTCTGTATTCATGAATAATTAGGACCAGGAGAGAAAAGAGAAAGAGAATTAATAACCTGAATTTAATTTTGACTTGTAACATAATATATACCAAGCATCCTAATATTTGTTTCACTAATTAAGCTGGCTGGAAACTACTGCACTTAAGGGTAAAAATTACATTACCTTTCTGGGTTTTAGTGCTAGGTAAATAAGGCTGACTAGATGCTTTGTTTAATCCAAGACATCCTTTCAGGTGCCCCTTCAGTCCAGGAACTCCAAGGGATCCTGATGGTCGTTTGAACGGTGAAAAATTTGTAATCTCAGACACAAACCTAAACTAAACGTTAAAATGACAACAAAAAATGATAAAAATAATTAATGCTGCAATTGGTGATAAATTTACAAATCAATTTTTCCCCACAATAATGTTAAACCGACAGTTACCTTCATACTTCTGCAAGTACCATTATCTTAGACAAAGTTGATGAAATAATAAAAACAAAAATGGGGTCAAATATTTATGAAACCATGGGCAACGCGCTAATCCATCTGCGCCTAAAAAATTTTGCGGAAAAAAACCGGTTTGAAGATAGCTAAGCCACATTCTGGTCACTATCTGGTGAAAAAGAACAAAACATTTTCTGAAAATGTTGTTTACAGGTCAAGCACTATGCTCCCTTCTGTTACTAATGCATATGATGGCTCCATACAAATCCTTCTAAATTTGACTCAGTTCATAACATTAGGAACCGAGTCAAATTTAGAAGGATTTGTAGGGAATCATCAGAGCGAAATGGGACTAGTATCTCCGAGACAATTTGCCCCACAATGCTAGTTTTTGGCAAGTAGGCCTTTCAGATGTTTTCTTTCGAAATATCTGACAAATCCCGTCATTTTAAAAATTTAGTTTTTATGACGTAATCACTTAAGAACTCTGTTTACAAGGACTTCTATAAAAACTACTCTGCTGTGAATGGGTGGCAAGAGCTGTTTTTTCCATACAGATCCTTCTAATTTTCAGCAGCTGTTGCAATCACTACTTTTGAGATATACGGCTGAAAATTTACAAGTTACCTAAATTTTGTATTCTCTTTCAGTTTCTGCTAAATCTTTTTAAGTTAACAAAAAGAACAGTTTTTGTATTTGCAAAGAGTTAGTCACGTGATCAGCTATTGCAAGAGGCCTATTACCGGTCTTTTTCTTTCCGTCATGGGACTAATTTCCACAGAATCATAGGGATCTTCTTCCTCCTCATCCTTTAAGTCACCCTGTGATGTTCTTAGGCTTGCTACATCTGTCATGTCATCTTCAGTTTCAAAGTCTGAACCCCAAGGATCAGTACCATCAGAGAATTCATCACTTTCATCATCGTGTGAGGGCATGACATATGCCTCTATGGAACACACAAGACATTGCAATAGTATTACCAGTACTAACCATTATTACATTAGGTCCACACTAATAGCTGGATCTACTCATAAGTTCGATGTGAACTTAAGCAGTCTACTTTACGGCAAAATAATGCCATTTATTAACATATGGTATTCTAAATGTTTTTAGAGGGAACAAAGTTACCAATGAATTTTCAGCATAGGCAACTGAGAAGAAGTAGACGATATTTGTATTCCCTGATGGCCCTGGGACAACAGACTTCACAGCATGATTGCAAAGCTAATACGGGGAATTTCTTGGCAAAAAAACACAAACAAACATCAGTAAATTGCAGCTCAGTTGCTGAAAAACGATAAACATTAAAAGCTCGAACACGACGGGTAAGCTAAAGGATACCTGTTTCAATTAACAAAACTAAGGAAAGAGCTGGTCGTACTAACAGCAAAATTAAAAAAAGCCATGAAGCAATGCATGCAACTTAAAAGAAGACATGAGAAGGAAGCATATATCTAGAAAATGGTAAATTGTGTCAAAATGTCAATAATCGAATCCTTTTTAATATTACATTCAGTAATTTTATACTTCTTAATATTCTTTTTCACTTGTGTGTATCTGTAAAATGGAGTTTAAACTGCTCAGTATTATCGCCTGTACAAAACTCTGTGTTCAACTGTGTGCATGTTTTTGTACTCTCACACAGTTGTGATCAAAGATATTGACAAATAATGTAACCTAAATTTGTCAATAAACTTTACCTTTCAAGTCATCTTTTTTCAAACCGATTTAACTTCCTTAAAATGCATGGACAGTCTTTGTGCAGAAAGCTACGCCCCGTCCCGATAAGTAATTATCCACTGAACATAGTTGATCAGTTTACTTCAAATACACAAGATTTTGCATCCACTCTGTTAGAAAATTTCATAACTGCAAAGTAGGTGCAATGAACATCACTGTCAACTTTATTGAAGGCTTTTGATAAGTACGTCCAGTTCAATAAAATTAGTATTCTTCAAAAGGTTTTAAGGACACTGAAAATTATTTATTAAAACATTTGGCTTTGGGGATTTTGATAACATCTTTGAGTTTTTATTAAAACAAACTCGCTCACCAAGCACTCTTTCCATAAATATCTTGTTAGGATCACTGTTCTTCTCAGTAACAAAAACACTCTTAGTAGCGTTGAGTCTCGCTTGCTTGGAAAAAAATTTTATTGTCAGCTGGTGCTGTTATGCTACTTTTTCATTTGGAATACAAAACAAATGTTAAATGTCATAATGTAAATACTCAAAACTTAAAATTTGCAAGGAGAGACAGGCTGCACATCTTAGCTTCACACCGGTGTGAAGCCGTTGAAAACCTTCTGCATACTGATATTGCTTCAGTGAGGAGAACTCTTTCGCGGATTTTACACTTAAAAAATTGAACAATGATTTTTATCAGTATAAATATATATAGCTTCTATGTAGCAGACAAGATATGGCTTGGTACAGTTTTTGTTCAGCATAAGAAAAATGTTTAAGTTTAGCAGAACCTTATACAACAGACAGTTAATTGCATGAAAGTAATCATTTTCCTTGGTTGCTTATAAGTATCTGCTTTTAATATCTTCATTCAGTTGATGTTTATGTGATCTCAGAGTACAATGTTAAGAGCTGTACATAGCGTGCATTTTATCACAGTATCACTGGGATAAAGGGTTTCATTTTCCAAAAAAATTTCACTTTCTCATCAAAACAATCACTGACCCAGTCAGACTCAGAGTAGTGTTTAGTACAGCGAGTTGGGTTATGTTTTCTCAGGGGGGGTACTCGGGATTTCAAGTGACGGGGATGATCGAAGGATTTTTTTGGGTTTGAAATTTTCGATTCCGGGATTTTTTTGGGTACGAAAATTTGGCTTGGGTAGCTTGATCTGAGTAGCCATTTTTTGGGGGTATTAAAAAGAATCGGTAGTGCCCTGGCCGCGTAGTTCTGCGAATAAAGTACAAACAAACGTGTTTTGCTGTCGTTTAATAGTTAACTATGGTGTCGCTTTACATCGCACGTGTTATACAATAGTCTGCATTGTCCAGTGGTGCCCGGTCGTGTACAAGACTTCAACTGCTTCAATTCAGTCAATTGGCTTTACCGTCCCTGGAATCCCTTTTGCTTTAGTGAACTTTTGATTTCTTTCACTTGTGACTTGTGGGTTTGAAATGTGATGTTCAGGTTGGTCTTGTTTAGCGTCATTCATAATGTTGCTGTTGAAACAAAACCGTTCTTGGGTGTCTCTTGCACCCGCTCTACCTTTTTAAAATGACTGCCAGATGAGGGAAAGGATATATTCAGATGGTATGATGAAAAAAAACACGAGTGTTCAGTTTCCCACGTTTTTCTTTGTGTTATAGCATTACCCCTTTCTGGAACTTTTGAGGGCCGCAAATTAAAATTGGCATGGGGTTTTTTGGGGGTTAATTTTTGGTCCAGGGATTTTTTTGGGTTTTGCTGGAAGCCCTAGGGAATTTTTTGAGTATTGACTTTTGGCTCCATTTGATCATCCCCGTCACTTGAAATCCCGAGTACCCCCCCCCCCTGGATATGTTTTGTGAAATTTATGTACAGTTTGTGGCCCACATCACCAAGATCTATTTGTTTATTTTATTTTCAAGTTTTTTTAACCAATCCTCGATCCCAATCCGAGATTCTCGATCCTCCATCCTCGCTCCTGGTTTTCCAGTATACCTCAAAGTTTTGCTCATTAAGATTGTTCTCTTTTTCGATCACTGAAGTAATCAATTGTTCCAAAGTAATCGACGCTTTCAAGCAATAGAATTCATGGACAGTTCATCAATTCATGGAATTCATACATGTGTACTAGAACTCATTATGACAGGAATGTCCCAGTAAGATGAAGTTGAATGCAAGTCTTCAGTTATAATGAACATTATTTAAGTTTTCATTACATAAGAAATATTTCAGGAATTAATGTACGGTGTTTTGAGACAGTTTTTCGTGGACCATACTGATACTTTTTCATCCCCTTAAAAGTGATTTTATCCTTGTCCAATCGCTATTAAATTTTTTACCACTGACTGACATTGAATTGAAGTTTGTCAAAATGAAGTTGTAAGTAAAATCAACATCACTATGGCAACAATAAACAAAAAAAATTGAAACTGTTAAAGTCAAATTTTCCGCTATCTAGACCTGCAACTGAAAATCCGACATCAGAGTGGTGTTAAGGAAATAACCTCTGTGAGAACTTAAAAGTTCTGTATGTTTGAATTCTAGTAAGACATAAATATATTTTAAGCCCTATATTTCCAATAGCTGTGATTAATTGCTTAATAAAAAATTCTAAATAACTCATATGAATGCTGCTTAATATCATATTTCACTGCTTGCAAATTCTGGTGTATTTTCTTTCCTGCGATTCTGAAAACTAACCTGTGTTCTCCCCACCCGCCTAAATGCAACTTGATTCTAAATTTTGACTTTTAGCACTTTTTTGTATATCTCTAGAATGGCTTGACAGAATTCTTTTTAAACCTCATCAGATATTCTTCATGATGTACATAACAATGTCTGAAACTTTCGTTAAGATTGACTCACTGAAATACCCTGAAATTTCAAGGCAAACGTAGCTCATAGACAGGCCATTCTGGAGATATACAGTAATTTTACTTGAACTGTGAAACAGGTACTAACAAATAGTGCAAAATAGTGAGAGGTAAACAAAAGAAGACAATAGAATTAGTGCATAATAGTGTGTTGTATTCTACTACCAATTTTACCAAAGTAAAATCACTCTATTGTTATTTGTCAATATTAAAACAGGTAAATTTTGTTTTATCTTTTCAACAATACTTTTGTATATATTCACTTGATTCTATAACTGACTTTATAAATATTTCCTACCTTGGTTGACAATAACTTCTTCATATGTACTTCCTGTATAGCTTTTTTCACTGACAGTGTCTGTTATACTGTCTTCAGTATGCACTGCATCATAGGGATGCTCCTCAGAGTGTGATACACTTCCAGCTCTATCACCATCATTCAAAACTGGAGATGTCACATTGGCAATGGAATCATCCCGAGAGTACAGAAAATCATAAAATGATTCCACCCGTTTGGTTTTTCCTTTCCCTGATGATACGTCAATGTATGAAAGGGTTCTACGACTAGTGTCAAGTGCATCAATTCTCTCCACAGTCAAACTGGGGATTACCTCTTGGTTTGGGCTTGATGTCAGCACAGGCTTGCAAACAATTTCTCTTGGTGTTTGCCCTAAGCCATCATCAGTTTCTGAAAGTAAATCACTAGTTGTAACATTACCTTCTGATGGTAATGTTCCTGAAATGACTGTGTCTGGCTTCACATGTTGTGTTGGAGATTGTGGAAGACGTCTTCTAGGAGGTTTTACAGGATCAGGACTGTGAAGAGGTGATCCTTCCTCTTCATATTCTCCCCTCTCTCTCACATCCTTCTTTATTTGCTCGGGTTTCTTTTGAGGAGGTCGTCTTGGTGGCTTTGAAGGTTTATCATCAAGAAGTTCCTGTACCACTTCTGTCTCAATCTTTCTTTCATCACCTTTGCTATCCTTCAGCTCACTTTTCACTGGGGTCCAAAGCTCCTTGTCATTGCTGTCCTTACGGATTTTTCTTCTCTGGTCTTCAGATGATTCCTTAACAGTTTTACAATGAGAGATATCTTGCTCTGGTTCTTTCCTTGGCGGTGCATCCTTTTTTCCAGCATTACTGTACCCAGTCTTTTCTTTCTTTTCACTCTGTCTTGTTTCTGATTCTAGAGCTTTTTGGTCATTATTATTTAGACCTGCTCCCTTGCATTCATTACTGTCAGCCTCTTGAGAAGCATCTTTTGTAACAGTAAAGCTCTCTTTATTTAATTCGCCTTCTGATATTAGATCATCATAAATAACAGATTCCCTGGCATTTTCACTGCCTTCATCAGATTTGTTTTCCATCATAGTAGGTTATGTGTCATCATAATGACAATATGTATACTCGTGACCAAGGAAACTGTAGAAAAACAAAGACACAACAGAGATCTTTAATTCTGTGAAGTCAAAATAATGAATACCCACGATGACCACAAGTTTAGATTCATAAATCTTACGTCAATCCAGCGCCATCATTTTTGTAGTTACTTTTTTCTATGGCTGCAATGATACACTGATCTATGATTTCAGTGAAATGATATTATAAAACAAGTGTGGATATTTAAATGACTTATTGTTATCTTAATAGACTAAAAAATAAAACTATTATTACTTTTCATTGCTTTTAACCTTTTTTTAAGTGACCACTTGACAAATGATGTGATCTTTGTTTGATGTAATGTACTATGCCACACAAAGTATAGCAACATTTTTCACTGATAACATGGAACTCTTGTACGTAACTAACAAAATTAATTGCATGCAATAAATTATCTTCCAAAAATTAGAGACCAATCGTTTATTACATTGTGGTGGGGGGGTACAATTTTCTCAAACTATATCATCATGATTGAAGCAAATCCACATTTCCTTGAAAAGAAGACGAAAAATACACTTTGGCGGTTCTTTGTCAGCAACAAAATGTTACCCATATAAAGCTCGGCCCAGGACCTATCAGCTATTTCTCCTATCAGGAATGTAGGGTGAATGTTTGCACATATGCCTATGCATACAACAGAAATCTGGAAAAAATATATAGACCTTTTTTATTTCCTGCAAGCATTTTTATCATTAAATCGGGATAAATATTTTGCATTATACTGGTGTTTTTGTGTTAGGATTTCCTTTATCCTTTTATGGATTAAGTGGAGTGAAATGGATCCAAATGTGAAGCCACAGACCTTGGCTGAGAATTTGACCAAGTCAACTCCAATTCTATCCTGGAGTATATGTCACGGCTCTCATAATTTTGTTGACTTATCCTGTGTCAACAAACACAGCTGAGCGTAGCTTCAGCGGTATGAAGAGACTGCAAACTCCTTCACGAAGGACCATGACAGACGAGAGATTGAGCTCTCTTGCAATTCTGCATAGGAGCACAAGGACGGTACAAGGGGGGTACAATTTTTATATGTAATTATTACTTTTCTGAAAACCCCCACCCCTCCCTGGGATGTAATAAACGATCAGTCCCCTAGATGTTTCAGGACCTCTTGTCGGAAGGGACCCCCTGTTACTCAATTCTTGTCAGCGACCACCTCTCGCAATCGTCCACTAAATCTTTTCATTATATGGCTAAATCCGCTGGCGGGCAAGATAAAGCAAATCCTGCATTCTGATTGGCTGCCCAAGCAGACAAGATGGGCCCATTTTGCCTGCTCGCGATTTCAAGTGTTGGTCCCGCAAGTAAACATTCCCTTTTTGGCCATACAATAAATTCTTTATTGACCAAGCTTTTCTGGTCAAGATGGCTGAATATTGGCCTCTTGTTTTGCATTTTTGTTGATTGAGACCACAGGTAATTAACCTGAGATCAGGCTTAATTTTCATTTTGTTTTGTAAATAACATTCTGGCGGGTAAGGCGAAACAAAAAGAGAGCCTGATACAAACCTTCTACGAAACGTCTGCCACCCACTTTTTTGATTCATTGACATTTGCTGAATCGGCCAACCAAAATTACTTCTGTTGCTTGTTTTTTTAGTATGCAAATTTAATCATACATGGGAAAACTGCACACTTGCTGACTTACAAAATAGCTCTTACCTTTTAATTTTTTAAACTAAAAATAAAACAGTCAGTACAATAGAGGCCCTGCCAGGGGGTGAGGGGGGTCCATGTCACCTGTCTGAATTTTAAAATGTCTTGTGTCGGTGTTTATGAAACGCTTGTCGCTTATTGTCGGCTTTGCCGTCACTGTCGTAATTTGGCCAAGGGAGGTTGTCTCTTGTCGCGATTTCATTTTACGCGCTGTCGCTACTTTTTGGGCCATGTCGCTTGTTGGAATTTACCCTGGCAGGGCCTCACAATATCACATTCAACTTCCTTCGAGATTAAAGGAGATCTCGAAGGTTATTTCTGTTGGCGTAGAAGGTAAAAAGTTTTTGAAAAGACGGCGACACAATGTTCTAGTTTTAATATTTTGGCTAGGTGCGCTCAAATTTAAAATACTGAAATAATTTCAGTATTTTATTTTATTTCTATTTTTCTGTTGCATTTATATTTTTCTCGGCAATTTTGCCCAATTTTCAGTACATAAATCTTTAAAAATCTTGGAGGAATAAATCGCAAATTTTTTCAGAGGATATATAAATTATCTCAGAACAAACCAAAAGAGTTCTTAAGTGCATTTTATTTAGCTGATTTAGTCCTGTGAGTACACTTGCAATTTGCGAATTATTTACTAGAGAAACAAACGTCTAAAAAAATATATTTTTTTATAAATCCAGGTAAATATTATCTGCCAATTTGGAAAGACGAAACTACACTACTAAAAATGCATGCTCAACACAGATGTATTTTGTGTGGTTGCTTACGGAAGAAATGGTTAATTGTATTAATTAATACAATAAAGATACATATGCATTATGGACCTGGCCCCATTTGTTCAAACGGTGGATAACGCTATCTAGCGGAGAAATCTCTATCCAGTGTATAGCACAATTGGTTTCCCTAATATTTATCCGTTGGATGGTGATTTATCTGGCGGATAGCACTATCCATCTTTTGAACAACCGGGGCCTGGAATTAAATGAAGCTAAGATGGCTAATTATTCTTGTTTTCAATTTTTATAGACCAAGATCATAGATAGTTGAGGGAGAGGTTCTGAAGGTTAATAATAAAAATGCAAAAATCAACAGCAACAACAACAAGTTAAATATTCAGGCAACTTGACAGAACAAACTTAGACAATAAAGAATTTATTACATGGTTAAGTGGATCCCGAGCGGGCAAGATAACTTACGCTGGTTCATCTCGCCGGCTCGCGGAAGCAGCCATATATACTCAATGAACTAAAGTACTACTTGGAACGCTCCAACACAACAATTATCTTTGAGAACCCCTAGATCAACAACCTAAAGAATCTCCAGTGAAAGACTACTGGCTGGGAAAATTTCAAAGGAAAACTTAACCATTAGCTTGTAAATTATAGCAGTTAGTTTTCAACGTAAAAACAAGCTTTTTCATGCTTCATACCACAAGCTGATCAATTGAATTTGAAAAGTTCGTGTTGTTCGTTTGATCTAGAGCTACGATTTTGAAGCAGAACATTCTACCACCAAACTATATGTCTCCAAAAAATAAACTGTCCCTCATGACATCCAGTGATTTTGATTACGCTTTTGCCGAATACGAAGATGTCAAGCCGAACTAGAGAGATCTCACGGGGATGGAATGTTTGTCTCGACGTCCCCTTTCTGCAAAGACGCCTTTCCATACTAGACGCAAAACAACTTAAATAACAGCTTATAGGTTACGGCTTAAAATTTATTACCTTGAGAGGTTCGAACCAGGTCCTCAATTATGAAACTACACCAAATACACCCAAGGAAGCACGCTGGATCAAAATCCTTGTAAACCATCACGAGATGGCGCGCGAGTGTATTCTCCCATTGGACTGGAGACGAATAAACTGTGGTTAGGGGAGGGAGGCTGGGGAGTTTATGTAGAGGTAAATGTAGAGGGTGTCGAGAAGACAATCATTTTATTTTTAAAGGTGGGGGAGGAGTGGTCGGGTAATTTGGTGTGGGGATCATTTTTTTTAACCCCTTCATTCACCATGAATTTTTCAGTTTTGAGTATGTGCTTGCAGACCTTGCATGATATTTTTTATACTCACACCAACATTTTGCATCATTTTTTTTTTGTGTATCTGGGGTTGAAACTGATATTTTAAATCAAACTACAAAAGATCTGTAAAATTAGGAACAAGTATATCAATTTGGATCAAGGAGTTTTTGACTGATCTTGATAATACAACACATTTACTATAATATTATGTACAAGCGGTGACTGGGACCCCTTTGCACTGGTGAAAAGAATCAGACCTTTTCCTGGACACCTGCTCTCTTAGCTTTCAGACCGTTATATATTTTTCAGTGGCCCTGTATCTTGCAGGTGATGGCTGGAGAAGCTTATGTGGAATACATATTTAGTGTAAATTATATAAGTTGTTAGTTAAAGTACATAAATTAAAAAATATAAATATATTCTTTTGTGTCTATCAGGTTATTGGAGACAGGAAAACCAACCATGATTTTGGTTTTGACAACAACAACAACGACAAAAAAAACAAGATTGGTTGCTAGCGGTGTTATAAATGTAAAGAAAAGCCATTTGAAGGGGGCACATTATCATGTTATGAATCCTTCTTACCCAAGGCCCAGTGTAAAATCTTTCATAATAACAGTATAAAGGAAATGAAACTCAGCATGTCAATATAGGGGAAATTATGCCACAATTGTTTTCCAGCCCACTGTAAATGCATTAATTTTCTTTGGATGGTGTTCCTGTGCAGGATTTTTTTCCTTACCCATATGCACTTGCAGGATATTTTTTTTCAAAATCACCCAGCCCCAATCCCTTTTCCAAACCCCTAAGTATATGCATCACCTCAAAAAACCAGTTTTATCAGCAGGATATGATAGAGAGCTCACATTCTCATTCCAAAGAGTTACTCAGCTTAATTTTTAGCAAACACTTTATAAAAAATACTACCCAACCAACAGAAGCAACACTCAGGGAATGAAAATGGGAACTCGAGCAAAGGTGTTTTTGAGCACCAGATGGCAAATGGAAGTGGTGTTGCCCAATTTTTCGGGCTAATTCTCTCCATTAGAGTTGACTCTTTGCATTAGAATTTTGTTAATGTCAAGGTACATTTTAAAAAGGAAAACATCTCTACTTCCCTTTGAGTTGCATAGCTCTAAACTTTTCTGTGGTCTACATTTAGCTTCGTGTAAACTGTTTTCCTCCTTAGAGTTTAAAAAATTGGAAAATATTACTAATTATATGGAGCAGTGGAGTTGATCAGTTGAATGTTTGTTCAGGTTAGTTGAGGTGGCATTCAAGGTAAGGTTTTCATCAAGAATAATGCTTGTAAACCGGAGTGCCATGCAGTTGAAAATCTCAAAGCTCAGAAATAACAGAGGTATAAACAAGACTACAAGCAATCTATTTCAAAGATAGCTAGCTCAGCCCAAGCTCTGTCAACTGAACTTTGCCACATAATAATATTATTAATGACAGCAAAATATAAGGACCTGTATGAGCAAAAATATGCAATTTCATGGCAGAATGTTATTATTATTATCATTATTTTCTAATAAAGATTGCTTACCTATTAGTCCTTTTTATCTTTGTGAGTTTGAGTCTTCTACTGGTATGGGGTTGTTTTAGATCAATTTCATAAGGTTTAGGTTCCAGTGGTTGTTAACTATATATCTTTATTACCCACGTTTTCATGATATAAATTTGTGCGCTCGAATTGGTCAAGAATATTGCATCATAATTATGATCTCTGTTGTTTCTGTTCGAGGTTGAGTGGGAACTGTGAGAAAGACCTCATACAATGGAGGAAAAATTGATTTTGAAAACCCTTATCTCTCATTTTGGGATAAACCATTTCAAGTTAAGATTTGAAAGTTATGGCTTTACACTTAAGTTTAAATGGTCAAACACCCATGTGAGCAACAACAAAAAAATAAACTCAACAAATTTACAAAAAAGGTAAACATATTTACTTATTGATTCTTTTACCTTCTGCTGTGTATTAATGTTAATTTGTTGTCAATAAAAAAAAAATAGGTAAGAAATCTTTCACAGTTCTTTGTCAAAAAACAAGGGAACTGCCACACTTCTTCGTTGTTCGTTGTCATGAATGAATAACAACTTCAACTGTAATTATTGGTTTAAATATTGGTTAAACCAATTATTGGTTTCCCTTTTCCGTGTGACAACCACCTGAGTAATTTTACTAAAACTGTTTACAATAAATTATTATTCACCTCACGCTCAGCTAACATTAATAATCCCATCCACTTCGTCTTGAGGATTATTCACCATTCGGGCTAAATATTACCAGAAGCACTTTAACCTGAATATACTGTTGATGTACCTTCCAAACATCTCTGCCACAAACATCTCCGGTAATGGGGAGTAAGGAGACAGAGTTGTATTTTCAGTCAAGGATATATAGTAGCCTTGAACGAAATAGATTCTGCATTATATGCTAAGGGATCTCCAAATAATATTGTTAAAACACAAACACAAACACTCATGGGAAAAGAACACTTTAATGTTTGAGGTATCTATTGTTTGCATATGTTTGAATATTTTAAAACTGTATAAAAGCTTATCTCCTTATAGACAAAATCTCCCACTATACACTGATTAAAAGAATACTTCTCCTTGATATCATACAGTGAAATTCAAGAAAGAGGTTAGAAAAATGCATGGAAGATGCTATATAAAAATGCAAGAAAGTGTTAAAGCTAGAGTAAGAGACAAAGCGGTAGACATGGAAACTGAAAAAGTCAACCAGTCTACTTCAATAGCATCCCTGTTGTGTGTACCTGAACAGTAATGAACACTACGCAACTGGAAAATTATCAAATGTGTTTAATGTATATGTACAGTACAATCTGTCCATTATTGTTTTGAAATCATCTAGATAAAATGGTAAAGGGTTTCTTGGATTTATGCTGTGACTTCGTCTTGATGTTCACCATTGGTGGTTTTCTGTTTCTTTAAAAATTCTTCACCCTCCTATTATAAATAAAAATGAATTCATGTAAACATCTGAACAGTTAAAAGCTTTTAATTAAGGGTAAAATCATTGTAAGGCTTTCAGCAAGTTGCAAAAGAACAACTCATAGAAGGTAGTGGCACACATGGGAAAGAAGACACAACCCTGAAATGTTACAACTGATCTTACAAGTAACAGGAACAAGGAAGAAACATTATCAGATATATCAGGAAACACAAGATGACTGGCATAACTGGGTTGAATTTTGTTGCAATTTCTGTCTGTTCCTTCTTATACATCCTTAGTATCATTTAGGCAAGAAAAGTTCCAAAACTTTTACAGGTAAATTGAATTGCTGTCACAAGAATAACCAATGGCACATTTTAGTTCTCAGTGTCAGTAAAAAAGGTGAGCAATCAATCTTTTAAATCACAACTGGAGAAAACTTTTTGCTGACATAGATATCAGTTGTAAACTACCAAGAATGTCATGAACACTTATGTCAAAACTTTGGTATAGGTTGATATTTCCCGCTTATGGCCTTACTAAATAGTCGTATTTATCTTTTTTCTATACATCACAAGCAGGGTACTTGCACTGGAAAGAGAACATGTTATGAACAAATCTTCATTGTTATGGAACAAGTTGAGTTTGAGCAAAAATTGGTTTTTCTTTAAACACTCAATGACTATAAACTATCAATGATGATTTTTGGACGCGAAACTTACTCCCAGATTTTAACAATTATTCTTAATGACAAATACTTTCAAGCTACGACATGACCTACGACGTATTAAAAAAAAACCGCGTACTTTTTGACAAAATTCTTCGAAGGTTTTCGATGAGGGAGCAAGCTGAAAAGAAAAAGTTTACCTAAAATTCGCCCCTAAAACCCTATAAACAATTCGTTTTTCGCTGCTGTCTTTACAAGGAAAAAGCGTGGCGTTTTGCGGTAAATTCAAAAGCTATTTGTTCTTGAACAACGAAACCCATTGACTTTTAAACAATAAATTTGCCTTTGAATCGAATGAAAGCAAACCGCGCTGAAGCATGGCAAGCACATGCTAGGTAGCGTGACACGGTCTATGATGCATGGACATCTCTGATAACTTTCCCTAAATCAACAACACAAACCTTGTTTCTATCTTTGACAAGCATTACTTGCGGGAAAGTTACGTAAATACTGTTTTAGCACAGAACGGGACTGTTGGTGGCAACAGAAAATCATAACATGCATTGAATTTCCATGTGACAAAAGCAAACAAAACCAACACGGAATGTTAAGCTTATGAAGAACAACTCGGTACCTGGAACTTTATCACAGAAGTTTAGCGCTGTAGCTTTTACTTACCTCGACTGTCTCTTGCATAGTTCCTTTGCGTTTTAAGTCGGGTTTTTCCTCATCTTTTTCCCCGTTCTGTTCAGCCTCAGCGCTTTCTTCGATGGCCGCTTTCACTGCTTCGCTTTCCCCACGTGTTCCTCCGTCTACTGTGTGTCCGGCGTCTTGAAGAAACTTTTCTCCTTCCTGAAAAACACCGGCGATCGATCAATCGTACGGTTAACTAATCAGAAACGTAAGATTTCACTTCTCGCTAGTTAACAGAAGTTTAGGATAAAAAGATCGATTAACTTACCGACGCAGTCACAGTCATTGTCCCATCGCGTTTGACAGCTGGTTTGTCTGAGCCGTTCTCTTCAAGGTCGTTTTCTTCCTCGCTGTTTTCGGGCGCGTCTTTTTCGTCTTCATCTTTGTCCTCGTCCTCCGCATTTTTCAAGGTGGCCGTCTCTGATCGAGTTTTTCCAAGCTCTTTATCACCAAGGAGATCACTACCTTCCTAAAAATGAACAAACGTGAAAGACTGTTAACTTCTGCATTTGACTCGTTTGAATGAAAAAACCGAAAGTAATCAGCCACCTTTCGAACTAGTGATCATTAATATACCTGTGCGGTGGCTGCCATGGTTGATGTTCTTTTGAGTTTGGTTGCTGAATCCTCTTCGCTCTCCTCGATTTCCTTTTGCTGAGCTCTTGTCTTCGCATTTTCATGTACCCCTCCATGTTCCTCAAGAAACGCTTCACCCTCCTGAAAAAGACACGAAAAATAAAAGAAATTTATTAAGCTCGATCTTTCATATTGTTGGCAAACGCTGGACTCCATTTTCCCCGTTCGCGCGCTTTTCGATGATTTTGCTCACCTTGGCAGTCACGGCCATAGTTGAATCCCTTTTGAGTGCGGGTGCTTCTTCTGCCATTTTGAGAAAATAAGTTAGAAACAAAATGTACAAAGAATGGAGTTAAAGGGCCACGGTCCAGCTAACAACAAAGCTGACAGCGAAAAGAGACAGATAGTTAAATGCGTCGCTTTCAAAAAGAGTAGGGGTCAAAACAAACTCAAAAGCGCGGAAACAGGGGCCTGATCTCATTGGCTTATCTTGAAGCTTGTCAACAAATGCAATTGACAGCAGTTCTCGAAAGCATTCCGCCAGTAGTTCTGATTGGCTGTTGCCAATTTGAAGGGCTTTCAGTTGTTTTCTGTTGGCTTTCAATTACGATCTTTCAACAATAACCTCGAAAGCGGAACGTTGTTGTTTGGTAGAATGATATTTTTAAGGAACTGTTTGAAGAGATAATGACCTAAAACACGCAAGTTGATTTTTCAGGAGGACGAGGCAATAATTCGTGGATTGTCTCTTAATGGCTACATATATGTCTATGCCAACTGCCAGCCACCTGCATATGCTTTGTAAGAACAAAAAAAATGAGAGCAAAAAAGGTCTCTGTGTTCTAATAAATAACGCCATCTGGTGACAAGATAACGAGGACATTTTATTGGCAAACACAAGAACAGCAGCCACGTGTTGTCAAACACGCGAGGGATCTCGGGAGACTGTGACGTCAAACTTCAAGGGACACTGCACAGTACCGCAAATGATACCCAGACGGAAAATGATCCCCAAAATGGACCGCAAATGATCCTCAACCGCAAGTGATCCTATTGTCGACCGCAAATGATCCCGTGAAAAGTGGAGGAATGGAAAAGTATGGATGTACCCTGGGTGCCAGAGGCTTTTCATGCGCGGTTTCCGGTTCGGTTTAGCCTCCGTCCTTTGGGGTTCGTTTGTCACGTATTCATTTCTCCCCCACAAATACCGTAAAATTTTTGAAAGGCCCTTTTTGCGGGGCTTATTTTTGAAGGGGCTTATCTACGTAAGGAAATTTGCGTTTCAAAATCGATTGGGCTAGCCTTATAGTTGGGAGTAAATTTATCGTTCATTGTATTCGAGGGCAATTTTCCAAGTACAAGCCCCCGGGGGGCTTATATTTGGAGGGACGATTTAACGGAGGGTTTTTTGCGTTACCGGTTTGGGAGGCTTATTTGGAGGGGCTTATACATGGAGGGGCTTATTTTCGGAATTTTACGGTACGTTACATCGCGTAAAACCGGCATTGAAATGAAGTAAAACGATAAATTACCATTCTGCCTCTTTCGTCAATTGTTTCTCCTTTCCTTTTAGCATTATTGTTTCTTTGCTGTGAAAATTCAAGACAGGAGGGTCGTCAAGCCCGGGGGGGGGGGTACTCCTGGGAATTCTTGGTGGGGGTGTGCCGCCCGATTCTCCAAATCCTGACCCTATTTTCAGACCGAAACCCGTCATTTTTCACAACCGTTCCAGACCTGGCCCCACAAATCCATGCCCGTTTTTAGACCTGCCCTCTAACAAATTATGGGCTCCTGATTATGTCATCATTACTTAGATAAGAACAGTATTAAAAAAGATTTCTTAACATCCATTTCGAATTCCCATATATCTCTCTCTTTCTTACTCGTTTTCGTCCAGCAGCCGAGGTCGGAAAATTGTCGTTTCGTTCAACCCACGGGTCAGAAAAGGTTTGATACCGGATTTTGGTAGAACAAAACCTATTGCTCATTGCCTAATAATTTGTTAGGTCGATTTGTGGAATAGGTTTTAGACTGCTTGCAGTCCGTCTTGTCTCTTATTTTTTCTTCTCGGGCTTACACCCTCAGGTTTCGCGTGCAGTAACTTTGCAAAGAAAAATAAGAGACTGCTCGCAGTCTATATAGGTTTCGAGTAAACGACGTTTTTATATCACACAAATAGCCCCTATGCATGATTACGTCAGACGAGTAAATTTCACCAACAAGCCTCGTTTGTGAACAAAATTTTTTGCATTTGCACTTTTTGTGCGTGGGTATTCTTTTCAACTCTACTGCCTTGGGAATTCATTTCTGTGAAACTTCGCTTATTTTTAATTTCAAAACGAGGCTTGGTGGTGAAATTTGCTTGTGTGACGTAAACATGCATAAGGGCTATTACAATCCAGCATGAAAACGAGGCTGGAGCCTGAATAGCCTTTTACTTTCCAATTCTTTGTTTTAAAAAAATCGCAAAAAAATGATAACTTACCCAATGTTGTATTGTATTGTTCAATGTAACAAAGAAGATCATTATTATATTTTCTAATCAACACTGTCACTTGACTGATCGCGTAACTCGTACAAGGACAAATTATTGCTTGAAATAAAGGATAATTGCGCTTTTATCGTTTTTCTTCTTTCTATGAACCGGTTATAAATATCTCTATTTTGTTATTAGTTGTTTTCCTTTATAAATATTTTGCAAGTAACGTTTCCAGGATAGATTAAAAAACATTTGGGGAGCGCAGACTGTTCCAAAGCATGAGAAGAAGACACGGGTTGAGAAGAGGGTCTCTCTCAGAATATTTCTGTTTGGGTTGAGGTGGTATAGAAGAAGGGGAGTGTAAATGAAAGCGATCAACAATACTGACATCTCTGTTTGAAGTCTTCAAATCACACGCAAGAGCCTTGTCAAATGTGTCTGCAATTTGGTGGCAGTATAGTTTCAACGCAGAACGAACATGAAAATTGGCAGTTGTGTACAGCCCCCGAAATGATCCCCAAGTCGACCCCGAAATGATCCCCAATTAGAATGATATTCCATCACAGAATTATAACAAGTCTGTTGCAGCGTTTACGTTCTTGAATCGCATTTAACATTTCACTACAGTTTATGTGATTTTTTAGCGCTTTTGTCATCTAATCACCTTTATGGCTACTTTTGCATCTTCAACATCATTTTAAAATTTTCAAAAGTGTTAAAATACCATTTTTAAAATTCAGTATCCAAGACATGTAGTTTTAACATCATTTTTAGAATTTAGCGTCGTATCCCTGTATGCAGTTTTCTCTATAACCTGGGCTATAATCACCTAGGTAATTATAATAAAAACATGTTTTGTGTCTTCATTGATATTATCAGTTGCAGTTCATAGTGTTACTAAGAATATACTAGACTTTGTGTATTAAATAATATCTTCGTTTAATCCAGTTCAAAGTTTAATCCCAAATTAATGTCATTAAAGAATGTGGGCAAGTGAGGATTATTAGTGAAACTTAAGTTAATGTTGTGCATTTTAATCGGGCCATAGGTCTAGGATATCATTCCATTCCTAAAATTAACTGGGGATCATTTCGGGTCGACGTAAAGAGAAATGGAGATTATTTCGGGGTCGATTTGAGGATCATTTCAGTGTTGACGATCATTTCGGGGGCTGTACAGTTGCCTCTAATATATCCGCCCTTGCAACTTCCACGCCGTATTTTTCACATTGGACAGAACTGTAATCCACGATGGCTACCAGTTTATCTTGCTGATATATGAAGCAACTGGAGTCACAACACTTAAAAGTGCATCAACAATTTGTTGCTAAAAATCACTTCATTAGCAGCGATGATCAGACTTTTTCTTGGGTCTTAACTCACACAACCCTGGGGAAATCTACGTAGCCGACTGGAAGTCAAGGGTAGGAGTGTTGGCATGTCTTAAAGTCTAAGATCGCCAGAAAGATGGTGTTTTATCTATTCACCAAATAGCCTCATAGCTCTGAAAAAGATGTGTGGGTAGGACAGAAAGTGACCACGACGTAAAAACACAAGGAAGATGCATCGAAGAGAGTGGAGCGTGATTAAGAAGACGTCAGGAAGTTAGTCACAGAGGAGTCTCCTGTTAACTTTGCTACTGGCGTACTACTGACTTCAAATCAGGTTGCCTACAGTAGGGCCTTGTTAGCAGTAAAAAGGTCGAGAACAGACGAAAAACTTTGTACTCTAATACTGTAAATCTTTGGGATCCTGTTCTAAGTTTGAAGGTAAAGACATTTAGTACCATGTCCGAGAAAAGTGAATGTTTGAGTGAATGATGCAGGTGACAAGGTTATTAGTGTATAACGCTGACTATGACCTTTTTGGGTGGCTACACACTGCTGCTAACACTCTACAAAATCAATTTGAAGTAAGCTTTGTGCTATGAGTTGTCCCCTATTCCACTATGCGCGGCTCGCGCACCAAGATCGTAGTTTGCAAAAGAACACATAAGAGTATTCTATTAACTACACTTATAGTTCACTTATAGTATTCTACTAGGGTATCTAAAAGATAGTAATGCTGCGGCACATTCTGTTGATACTGCATTAGTTAGGCAGTGGGACTTAAAAGAATCGAAGATGACATTGAATGTCCTATTTACATGTTGGAAAGTACTAGAATAATTACTATCAGTCTATAGAAAGAACTCGTGGGAACGTTGTTTAGAAAATGATCTAGTGGTTATCAAGTCTGGTTTTCCCACAGTAAATTGTAGCAAATTATAGAAATTCAGATTGTTTATCCATATATTTAATAGAAAAGATAGTACGGTGTACTATCTTTTCTCTGGAAACACGATACTTTTCTTGCACAACAACACAAAAAATGAAAAAAAAAAAAAAAGAAAAAAGGAAAAAAAGAATGTGGTAGGACTCGAACCCACCACCATCGGCTCGACGCGACTACACCTAACCACTACACCACAGAGACTGACTACGTAGATATAGGAAAAGTCTTTAATTTAATGCCTTTTCCATGAAACTTCCGCCGGCAAGATGATCGCCAGCCGCATTAATCGAGCTATTAACAGTAAAAAAGCAATGTAAACGCATATTCCATGGCAATGAATGAATGAAAGAACATAATTATGCTTTTCAAAACCCCGATACACGTCCTCTCCTACAACGTAGGACACAAAACATGTTTTGTTATCTCGATTTCCGCTGTTATTTTGAAGCGAATGGTCAAAATCACATCCATTTTCGGCTCATACAGGTTTTTAAGAATAGCATGGCATAACAGTTCTCTCACTTTCACATCACCTTCTAGCAAGCTGGAATTTGTATA